TCCCTACCTTACAAAATTTTGAACTGTTGGTCTGATTTCGCTCTCACCAAATTGTATTCACTTGTGACATGGAGAAAATGTTTCATCAAATCAAAGTTGATGGCGAACATCATCATTATCAACGTTTGTTTTGGAGCAATTCGGAAAACGACCCTATCAGGGAATACCGCCTTACTAGATTGGTGTTTGGTCTAACGAACTCTCCCTATACCGCCATGAGATGCATACAACAGCTCGCGCAAGATTTTGGGGAAAAATTTCCTAACGCTGCCCGGGTATTAGAGCGGGACGTTTTTATGGACGACATTTTAAGCGGTGCGAATAGCGTAGACGACGCTATAAAACTTCGCGATGAAATAATATTAGATTAGATTCCGCGTCATTTAAATTAAACAAATGGAAAAGTAACAAAACAGAAATCATTTCGGATCTATCCAATAGCTCAAACACAATGTCGATAGACCTTGATAAGACAAAGAGTGCGAAAATTCTGGGATTGTGGTGGAATCCCTCGAGCGATAATTTTAGCTATGCATTCGAAAAACAAAATACAGTCAAACCTGGATAAACGAAAACTGGATAAGTGAGAAAACTCTATAAGCGACAAACATAGTCATAGTCCCATCATTTTTAGCCCCAAAAACCTCTATGAGTGACAGGGTAAGTACCTCTTTTAGAGAGAGTCATTTTTCACTTTTAGACCGCTGTAAGTGACAGTTTCTTACTCTAGACCTCTGTAAGCAAGACTATTTACAATTACTAGACATCTGCAGCACACTTGTATGCTTGTTCCTACCTGCTCATGGTACTCATCCTCTACATTTGGTTTCAGTTGATAACAATCATTGGAGAATGTAAGTTTGACGTTGTTCCCTCAAAATGTTGAAGCGAAAAATTAACTGATTTCTTTAAATAAATAAAATAAGTACCTATTTATAGCCATATGTTTATATACTTATGTATTACCTATTTCTTGACGCCCTACCACCATGTTTATGTTCGATTTTTATTAACCTCTATAAATCAGAAAACTCTATGAGTGAGAATAATATTCGGGTCCCTTAAACTCTCGCTTACCCAGGTTCGACTGTATATCGGAAAACTTAACGAAATGAAAGATGCTAGGCTTTATAGCGAAACTATACGATCCTATAGGTCTTATCTTATATAACCCATAATCGTTAGGGGAAAAATGATGATGCAACAATTGTGGTAAGAAAGAATAGACTGGGATGATCCAGTGCCTATTAAAATAAGAAACTCGTGGGACAAATTCCCAGGGTATTTGGAGGGCCTAACCCTAATAAAAATTCCCCGTAGAATATTGCCAAAATATTCTGAGAGTTGCGATTTGGTTGCCTTTTGTGATGCCTCAATGAGCGCCTACGGTGCTGCCGTGTATCTTAGGACTTAAATGGAAGGCAGCAGTTATTCTTCCTATCTGATATGCAGTAGATCGCGTGTGAGTCCATTAAAAGTAATGACGTTACCTAGGCTCGAGCTTTGCGCGGCTCTCCTAACGGCTCGCTTGATGCATAGAGTAGCAGACATATTAGATCTTACGGTTGAGAATAGGTATTACTTTTCGGATTCCATGATAGTTCTACATTATATATCGTCCCCAGTTATTGGTAACTGGCAAACATTCGTTGCTAATAGAGTATCAAAAATTCAAAATTTAAGCAAACCCAGTGAATGGCACTATATTGGTTCAAAACAAAACCCTGCGGACCTAATTTCAGAGGCGCGACTCCCGAACAAATTAATACAAAGCTTTATTGGCATGGCCCAGAATTTCTATCGAGGAAACTTTAGGAGTGGCCTGAATTCAAATTCACACCCAGTGTAAATCTAAACGAAATACCGGAGAAACGAAAGAATGCCGTGGTATCTTCTTTAAAATTTAAACCTAGTTTAGCGGTAATATGAAAATTCTCATCTTTTACAAGATTATAGCTCGTGGTCGCGTTCTGTTTAAGATTTGCATACAATGCGAATAATAAAGAAAACAAACGAATCGGTTATCTAACTAGCGACGAATTATTGAAGGCACGAAACTCAATACTTAGATACGTACAGGCGCGAGAGTTCTCCGCAGAACTTAGAGGCCCAAAAAATAAACAACCGATACAAAAGGGCAACTAGTTATATAACCTTGACCCCTTTGTCGTCAATTTGGGCCTTCTGCGGATCGGTGGTAGGTTGCGACATGACAGAAAATACCCAATTGTGTTATCGGCAAAGAATCATGATCAAATAGAACACATTTCTTTATTACATGCTGGGCCAAATCAAACTTTAGCGTCCTTTAGATGTAAATATTGGCCACTAGGGGCACGGAGTGAATTCAGGAAAATTATCCACTCTTGCATTACCTGTTTTCGAACCCGCCCAAAATTAATAGAACAAAAAATGGGTGATTACCCGGAGGCACGGTTAGAACCCTGCAAACCATTTCTTAAAATAGGTGTTGATTATTTGGGGCCTATTTTCGTAAAACAGGGCGGTAAACGAAGTGTAAAGAAAACAAAGGTATGGGTTGTTCTATTTGTTTGCATGGTTACCAGGGCAGTCCATCTCTAGTTGGTAAACGACTTAATATCGGAAAGTTTTATTAACGCCTTAAAAAGGCTTGTATCCCGACGTGGTAGAGTTGCGCTAATGTTCTGCGATAATGCTAAGACCTTTGTTGGGGCAAAACGGGAAATTGGGGAAATTTAAGAATTTTGTAGGAAAACTGAATTCCAAAATGTACTTGATTACGCTTCGAGTTCTGGAATACAATGTATAACTTTGTTCCACCTAGATCTCCCAACTTCGGCGGACTCTGGGAACGATTAGTTCGTTCAACTACGGAACATTTTAAGAGAGTAACAATGAACGCGAATTTAATCACCCTAATTATCCAAATTGAAGCAGTTATTAATTCACGCTCTCTCTCGCCTTTATCCCAAGATTCATCGGATCTTCAGGCCTGAACTCCCTCTCATTTTCTGGTAGACGAACACTTTCAAACTCTTCTCGAATACGATTCCACGAACTTATCAGAGAATCGGCTGAATCGATGGCAACGAGTAGATCAAATTAAGCAGCATTTCTGGAAGAGATGGCGACGGGAAGTTCTTAATTTGTTGCAATCACGCTCAAAATGGTGTCTCCAGCGAGGAGATCTTGTCCTCATTTACGAGGAGAATGCACCACAGTTTCAGTGGAAGATAGGGAGCATTGAGGAATTGTTCCAGGGTCCGATGGCATCGGCAGGGTTGCCGATGTTCGGACCAGCCATGGTACGTATAGGAGGTCATTGAGAAAGCTAGCCTTTCTCCCCGTCTAGTTACAATAAGTGCCGTAGTGGGGTGTGAAAGTGCATATCATTTGACCCTATTGGTGTCAATAGGGGGGGGGGAGGAAATGTGCAAACTATAGCAATAGTTTTATTTTAGTCTTAGGATCACAAGGTTACGGTAGGAAGAGACAACATGAATGAAGTGAGTGTTGGCGTGATTATGTCGTTTCGTTTGTTTATATTAATGTGGACCTAAAAGTACATAGCCTCCATTTTTAATTATCAGAATGGATCCGACGTCTATTCCAATCTACCCCTCCCTCTCCCCACAGGTCGCCACGCCATCTATACCAGAGCCAGAGAACTTTAAGTGCGTAGGAGCCGCTACATGAGCTTAGTTTCAGTCACTCCATACCCTTGAATGAGTATGAGAGAGTAAGCAGTAATAAATAATATTGCTTTCTCTTTTTCTTCTCCCTTCCACTCGCATATCAAGCCCCTTCATTCCGTAGACGAGCGGAGCCACTCTCGCAACTTAAATATTACCTACGAAAATGTTCGTTACTACGTCCGCAATACTATTGGGTTTAGATATGGAAGAGGGGACTCACCTATGAAAGGGAAGGGATAAGAAAAGGAAAGAATCATCTCACTGAGCAATGAGGAGCTCCTTGACTATACCTGAGGAGCACTCAGGAGTCAAAAGAGCCTAGTTTGCCCGGCTCTGATCTATACTATATATGTTTATTTTATTTGATTCTTCTACTAAACCTCCTACGTCTACACCCTTTGTGCAAACTATGGCAATAGTTCAGCGATAAGACTGGACTTACGGCGAATGTTTATATGTTTAGACTACTTCGCTAAAATAAATCCCGATACGAACAAAGAACCTGTTGTTGCCCACAAATGCATACTGTAATGTTCGTGGGTTTAACAAATTAGCTTTTAAGAAGAAAACTATTTATTTACACTAATTATAATTGAACTTGAAAGCACTACTAAATTATTACTAAACTTCGGTAATTATTCTATTTATTTACACTACTGTTACTATTCACTGTTCTATTTATTTCACTTCTTTCACTGTCAATTTATCTCTTGATTCACTTCTGCAACGGTCAATTTATTTCTACTCTGCTTTGGCCGATCGTCTCTTCCTTTTTATACTCCTTTGCCTCCTTTCGGGAACGTTCTCCAGTCGTCCAGAGAAGTCTCGTTTTCTTTGAACGGTTTAATTGCTTTCCCGGAACGCAGGTACGACACACACATTTACAAATACGGCGCACATGAAGAAAAGCACCCTCGGCTAGTCGGCAAATCGATAAGCCGCTCACACACACGTATGCCCGATCGCACACAATCACGCTCGTGGTCGCTACAATACATTAGTTTATATATCTTTAATTTAGTTTAGTCACACCTTAGAATTGCTAATCGAGCTGTAACGTATTGAAATCATTAAATTTACATTGTTTTAACTTAACGAATCGCCTGCAGTGTTTTATCTCAAAAACGAAATAAAAGAGCCTGCACACCCTTCACCACAAATTTTTTGTTTGTTCCATGAGGTCGAAATTAAGAAAACATTCCATATATTTTCTTGCAACGGCTTTTAATAGCATAATCAGTTTAGTAAGGAGAATAGAGAAAGACGTTAGTCTTTATCTACATACAGGTTGTAAGCTATTGTAATAAATTAATTTTAACTTACCCAGATTTCCGAACCAGAAATGGGATAACTCATGTGCTACAATCAATGCAACAAATCTTTGCTGTAAAAAGCTGTCAGTTAAACTGTCAAATAATAGTCGAGACTCTTTAAATGCAACTAAACCCCAATTTTCCATTGCTCCACTTCGAAAATCTTTGTTTGGTATTGTTATGAAATCTTCAATAAAATAGTAAGGAATCAGAACATAAAAATTTCTAGGATATTACTTTATAATGATTTGATTATTTTGAACAAGTACCTAAATAAAAATTATTGGCTAATACGTTCATGAATCAGAACAAAAATTTGGTTTTAGTTTACGTCGAAACGGATTATGGATAATTATAAGCATTATTTGTTATAAATTTCGACTTAATTGTTTAAAAATTAGGGTAGTATATGTATATTGGAAATAGTTTTAATTAAAGAAATTAATTAATTAAATGCATTAATCATCAACCTTGAAGGTTTTCGGGTAGTTTTGTTTGGAAACGGCAAGACGAGGTAGATAAATATACAAAAAAGTTATTTCAACTTTTTTTTATTTTGTTACTTTTCATTTAGTAATAGATACAATCAGTGTAAAGTAAGCGCCACATTCAGGATTTTTTTCAGATAATTTGCAAGGGTAGTCTGTAAACTAGATACTAGAGGATGCGCCACCTTAATAATGATAAGTAACGAAGTACTTCGTGATTTGAGGGTTAAAAAGAAAACTGCCCCGCAGAACCTTCTTTTCTTTAGTTGGGACGTTCACAATTGGCATAATATACAATAAAATTGTCAACTTACTAACTGAATGCCTACTTTTACTGACTCTCAGACGTTATAGGGTATATCGTAAACATAGATAAGAGATGCTAGGTAGGAATTGCAGCGAACATTAAGAAAGAAAAGGAATAACATTACACCAATTGATGTGTAACAGAAAGAGATGCAGACAAGCAGAATTTGAGTATGTTGCCAGCATCGGACTTTAAAGAAAGTTCAACATTGTGGGTAATTTAGAAAAGCAAAGACGCTTGTTTAAAGATATAATTCTAATCAGGCAGTTATAAAGCCGACCCTGATATTTTATGAACCTGAGCAACCTCTAACCGCTGCATCGCTTACTTTTATTCGGTTATCTCTTTTCACTTTATCTCTACTACTCATGAAGCATTTCCTAACTGAACAAGGGCGTGTTCATAACGCAGCAAATGACTACAGGCTCATGTGGAAACAAGAAAAGAGTTACAGTAAAAGTTCCTTATTCACGGTTTCCTTATTCGCGTTTTCATTATTCGCGGGTGAAAAAATTGCAACCCAGTTCCTGTATTCGCGGCTAAAAATTTCATTATTCGCGGATGCAATTGGTAAACAGAAAAGGATTCGGTGTCATTTATTTTAAGGGGATTGATCGCAATAAACCGCTCGTGCCTAGTGTAAATTTTTCCGAAAACATGGGTTTCTATTCTAAACATTGTGATTTAACACTTCGAGATAAATATCTAATTTTTGGTATGGTAACAGTCAAAGGTTCACACTAACTCGGTACGTTTTTGGTTTTCAATAATTCGGTCATTAAAAGCTTTTACAAGTGTTTAAAGTTGGTGCTTCTTTTACCACACGTATTTTCAATAGAAATTAAAAAATTCAAAAATGGCCTTCGATATGCTTTAGAAAATAGCTTTATCCATCTTATTACAAAATTTTAAATCTCTCTTCCAAACATTAAACTCATGATATCTAGAACCGATAAGCATGTTTTTATTCTACAGCGAGTGGACTAATTCAAGACAAAAAAATCACTAAATCTTTTAAACCCTCGCCTAAAGATGATTATAACGATTAATTTTAATTGCGAATTCCTCAATAAATTGATTTTATTATGATACATATTGGTTTTATTTTGGAATTTTAAATCATATCAATAGAACGTATACCCCGCGAATAAAGAACTGTTACTGTACATCCATTTTCACCGATAATTTATTGCTGAGTTTGCCAATTCGGATCTTCCCAACTATATCTTTTTCAGTTGAGTAAATGAAAATACTTTGAACATACTTTTCAGTGCATGAGAAGGGATCGAGAAATAATTTTTCTACAAATCTTATCATTTCCTTTTGTTAAAAAAAAATCTGCATGTTCATAAGCCAAATTATAATATATATATATATTGTGTATATAAGAGAATCGAAGAGCTATAACATACAGAGCGACAGACGGACGGGCCGACTTGGAACATAATAATAAAGGTTGCTAATTGGCTACAGAATCCCAAAAAGAAGAACAACGGAATAGAATAAAAAGGAAACGGTAATAATAAACAAAAGTAATCTAGTTTGCACTATTTTAAATTAGTTATCCACCAGTTGCATTTGAATGTTACGTTGTCTATAAAATGTTCATTGTTCGGTACACTACTAAAATAATAAATAAGTTTTTTTACCTATTTTGTCCATTGGATATCCAATACCAGTATACATTGTAAAGAAATTCATTAGTTCGATAGCAACATCTAAAGCAAACAATCGTTTACTCTTAACACTATCATCAGTAAATACTCGAATGGGAACATGCTTCTTTCCATCATAAAATATTTTTGAATCAAACGTGTAATCAGTAATTACATAAGCAACTAAGTAAGTCGACATAGGAACAGTCTCTTTGAACCTTACGATAGGGTAATGGTCTTCCTAAAAGAATTGAAATTCTATTCTACATATAATGTAAAATTTACATTGTGAAAGACAAAAAAATGAGATCGAATATAATTAGTATTAATTTGAAAAATCATTCTTAATTTTTATCCAAAATATTTAGTGAAAATTCAATTTTTTGTTTTGTTTATTCACTACCGATCTGTTACAGTTAAACATATTGTCAATGATTTACTACTTAAAATATTTTCCTTGCAAGGTAAATTTGGTAGTTTTAATAAGCACAGGGAGATTCCGTCTCTTTTCTGTCCAATCTGCTACCAAAAGTGTATAGCAAATGATACAATTCTCTGGCATAGCATATATTCTGTTTGCTGTATAGTAAATTCAATGTTAAATAAAACACGAAAAGCCCAAAATCCAACAAAAATATTCAAAAATCTGGTTTTAATATGAGGATGCTACATTCGGTACCGAAAAGGCATTTAATTTTCTGTTTCAGGTCTTAAGTTTTGAAACAGGTATAAAGGTCGTCGTTGGTTCGAAATGCTTCTCATATAAAAACCACAATCACATAATAAACAAACACCGAGCGGCATGACCTAGAGGTAGTACGACTATTGCTTTTCATTCGGGAGGACCTGGTTCGATTCCTGGTTCATCTGCCTTGGTCCAAGTAGGTCAATGTGTCTGTGCTTCCCTTGGATCACTTAGGCAAATCCTGGGGCAATAATATCCCACAGATAATCCTTCATTCTCTTCTGTCTTCATTCCGTCCGTCTCATCATTCTCACCCGAAGCATCACCCACCGATTCCCACGATTCCTCAAAGGAGGACTGCCCGCCTACCAGCATTACTTGTTGATGGGAATGAAACACCCAAAAGTTTTAAGTTTTTTATTATGACACCTTCATTAGGACACCTTCTCAGGCATGAGGGTCTAGTCAGAGATATATTAGAGACAGAAACGGGAGTTAGGAGGGGTAGAAGTAGACCTAGGTTAGATTACTGTTGACAAATAGTTAAGGATGTGGGTTGTTCTAGTTTTAGGGAAACGCGAAGTTTAGCTCAGGATAGGAAAGAGTGGAGGTACGTGTCCAATCAGTCTTAGGACTGACGACTTTATGATGACACAAACACATACCGTTGAAGAGGACCTTAAGTCGTCCTAGAACGTTATAAGGTAGAGCGGCTTTAATCGGTAGGTCCGAGGACGCCTTCCTCGGGAATCCGACACTGTCCAGTCGTGTGGACGATTGGGTGTCTCTTGAAGATTTTTGCTTTTCCACGAAAATATAAAAAAAGCAGTTGCTTCCTAACGCTCCGCTGGATGTGGACTATCTACATCCAGCGTCAAAGATGAAGAAGCTCGCCACTCATATTAGCGAAACGTTAGGAAGCAATTCCAATTCACGAAGACCCTTAGACCCTAATTAAGACAGCATCAGTTTACTCAGTAGCCGCGGAAGCCTTAACAATTTCTAATTTTTATTATTTTATTTAGTTTAGTTCTACGGCATTTCTTTTGATATTTTTGGAGTTCCATGTTGTATTGTTAACTTCAGCCATAAACGTAAACGCAATTTTTCAATAATTTTGCGGTTGGAATTCTTAACTAGGAAAAAAGTCATGGTGGTCATGGCCTACGCCGTTCTTTTGTTGGTCATTTGTTTCCATCAATTATTCTGATTTGATATGCTTTTCACGAGACAAGGACATTTAAAGTAATTCATGCGTGACAGTAGCATTCGAAAGCACGTTGTAGTAGTAGGTAAGTTCGAAAACTTTAAGAGTAATTTGAAATATATTTCACTGTTAGTTTATTGTCAGTTGGTACACATAACAATCAAAATATAATATAATAACTATAATTAATTCGTTTGAAGAAAAGTACACGTAAATAAAGACCAAGTCTTGATCTCTGCGTGCCGTATACGTAATTCGAAAAGTTGCCTTACAATTGGGGCTCTGGCGCAGAAGCGGATTCTGGGGTTAAAACATGATTTTGAACAGGTTCGGACTTGTCGTTGTATCGCATTCTGATTCGAATGTGTTTGCCTTTATTCATTGGTACTTATTTGATACAGTTAAATAGTTTGATTGGACGTAGTACGTGCTACAGAGGTGTAACGGTCAAAGGTATTTTCCTGATACGAGTCTGTTTACTATTCCATTGTCTGTTGTCAATCACGTGCCAATCGCGTGCATTTATTTTGTGTACATTTTTTCAAGATGAACAGAATATAGGCCTTCCGAGACGGCTGGTATCTAGACACAAAATGTATTGTTGACCTTATCAACGGCGATGTCGACACAATATTATGGACCCTTTATTAGCCTACGAAGTATAATTTTTCTTAATTTTTTTTCTTTCGTGAACCATACATATATTCTATTCATTGGATCGTGAAACATTATACAGATTACACTCTTAACTCCCTCTTCCATACCCTGTTCCCCCGTCCTAAGATCTAAATACATGGTGTTTCTGAAATTAGTAGCAAGCTTTGAAAGGTGTAGACTAGATGCAATAAAGAATCGCATGGTGAGTAAAACAGCGTGGTTAAGGGACAAAACTAAATTGTAAGAAAAAAAGACGAAGTTGCATTCGGAGCCGACCCTGGGCGTGAATAATAATTGGCGTTCTGCACTGGTATATTATTCTGTACTAACCTACGACACTGACACATTGACCTACTTCTGATAACTTCTACTGATGACTACATGAATACATACGTAACACAAGTCTATAACGTTAAAGAACCAAGAACTACTCTAGGCTGGCTGTACAGAAAAGCTTTGTTGATCGCACTGAATTTAATCTAACAAATAACAATGAGAGAGAAATTCATAAGAAATACATCATCGATGCTGTGTAGCAACTGATTGAATGCGGCGTTGCAATGTCGTATTTTGCTGCGTAATTCTACCAGGGCTGGACTGGCTCTTGTCTGTACTTTTTTTCGTGGAAACGGTGGACTTTCGGACCACCAAACATTAATTTTCTTATTTTATAGCGTTTTATAAAATCCCACAAATGACGCGGTAAAAGCCATCTGTAGTACAATGCTACATTTAGTGGAATTTATTATGCTCAACAAGGTTCATTTAAATATATGGATATCTACTTGCTGAACTGAAATGAGTTTATTTGTTCGATTTTGGTAACGTACCTATCACGTAGTGGTGAGCTACGCCGTGGATTCAGTTCAGCAAGTAGACATCCATCTATTTAAATGGACCTTGTTGAGCATAATGAATTCCACTAAATGTAGCATTGTACTATAGATGGCGTTTACCGCGCTATTTGTGGTATTTTATAATTGTAAACGAGATGAACAGAAAAGGAAAAAAAGTACGAATTATGCGATAATTCGAATATTCAATTTAAATTTTAAATGGAAAATACTATTTCTATTGGGAATTTTTAGATATTTTCAAACCCCTAGTTTTAATTCTAATAAATATCTATTTACACAAAATAGTGAAAGTAGTTATTATTAATATAATTAAAAGCGATACTTACTAAAACGCCTGTATTTGAAAGAATCGTTAAATTACTTTTAACTCGATTGAAAGTAATCTGAAATGGCGTTTNAGTACCAGGTAATGGAGCTGGGTGGTCGGTAATGTCAATACTCTCAAGCATTTTCCCAAGTCTTTATTAATTAAATTTCTTTAGGATAGGTTTTATTCTTTCATCTCTTTTTACATATTCAATTTTTCTTTTCTTTTGCAAATAACTAACTTCAGTAATTTATCTATATATAAAAGAAAGTCGTGTTAGTTACACTATTTATAACTTAAGAACGGCTGAACTGATTTGGCTGAAAATTGGTGGGGAGGTACTTTAGAACTAGGAGACCGACATAGGATACTTTTTATCCCGTTCCCGTGGGGGGGAGGAGTGGTGAAGAGAAGTTGCAATGTTTAAATGGAACATATATTATTTGTGGTCAAATTTACTTGAAACTTGATCATAATGGCCTCTCATTTAATTTCTGAAAGTCCTATCTCGACATTTTTAAAAATTCAACTTCCAAAGGAGGGAGAGAGTAAAAAGGTGTTACAATTTTTGCTTGGGACATACTTTATTTGTGGTTGTGTGGTTGAATTTACTTGAAACTTGGTATATATGCTGTTTGGTATTATTAATCAAATGAAAAGAGGTTGCAGCGTGTCCATGGGGTATATTTTATTTGTACTCGGATTTATTCGAAGGTTGCTCATTGTTGAAATTAAGCAAACACGTGTTTTGGCAATTTTTAAAAATCAACCCTTAAGGATGAAATGTTGTTGCTACGTTTGTATTTGATGGCGACATTACATAAAATTAAAACGTTGTAAGGGTGAATTGGGAGTTAAAAGGGTTTATGGAGAAACAATATTAATTTCTGCGAGCGAAGCCGCAGGGAAAAGCTAGTAGGTAATATAAATCCATTTTGTTTAGATTAATTTTGAAAAACCAGGCGATAATTTTTCACGTCACGTTTTAATTAATGATTTGTAACAACGCGGCAACTGCCTTCAAAACCTTTTCTATGCTAATTGGCATTAATTAGTATATTAATTAGCTTCTGAAAACATAGACTATTGTAGTTTGATAAAGTAAGTTAACAAGCTAATTTACCTGTTTACCCCGATGTGTGCAATTATTTTAGACACAACGATAACATAAAACAGCAGAGAGATTTAACGTCGAAAAACAAAAGCTTAACAATGAATTACGACATACAATTAAGTATATGGGTTTTGATAAGGTGAAATTAATTAAAATTCCACAAAAAATATATGACGAAAGAGAAAAAAAATTTACTTCAAACAGGTTGAAAATTAAAACTCAATTTATATCTCTCCCTTTTCGAATATTACCGGAATAGAATCTTAGCCATCAAGAGGGTAAAAGGATATATATTTTGAATAGCACACCACATTCTCCTCCTGAAATATACTAACGAATTTAAGAAAAAATGAAAGACAAGACTTGTTGAAATCCTTACAAGCCACGGAGAACCATACAACAACATACTGGGATCAACCACCAGATCTTTGTGTCGTTTTTATGGCTAGCAATCAAGAAGGAGGAAAGAGCTGTCCACATGCTATGTTATTGCTCTACGCTAACTGAACGTAGTTCTGCCAATATGCGGGTAATTACCCGTCTTTCGGTGAATTTTACTTTTTACGGCTAATTTATGAGTAATCTGAAAATGCGGGGTGAAACGAGTAATGCCAGTTTTTGTTGATTTGTTAATCTTCAAATTGTTTATTTTAATAAATAACTACTTAATTTATTGATTTGAATTATTTATAATTTCTATGATTTTTTAATACTAAACAATTTAAAGTTTATTTATGTACAATAATTGTGAATCACAATTTAACTTTAAATATTAGTTGTAAACTTAATATTCTTCTTAGTAGTTTTAAATGTAACCTTCCGTAATTTGAACTGAAGATGACGCTTTTTCGTTGGTTGATATTAGGTTGTGTAGGAGTGGGTGAAATTTGGGTAAAGTGAACCCTCTAAGGGGAAATGTTAATAATTATACGCATTTATACGGCTATTAGGACAGCTCAGCTCTGGCAAAAACCTGAGCAAACAATAAGCCTAAACCAACCATAAAATAATAAGAGAAGAAACAGTTCAATGAAAACATAAACTATCCGGACGTTCCCAGAAGGTTCACGAAAGTAAACAAAAGAGTATTTATAGGAAGAGACGATCGCCGAGAAGAAGTAGAAATAAATTGACCGTTGCAGAAGTGAATTCAGAAATAAATTGACAGTGATAGGAGTGAAATAAATAGCGCAGTGAATAGTGATATATCAACAGTAGTGTAAATAAATAGAATAATTCATAACCTAAGTTTAGTAATAATTTAGTAATGTTTTTAAGTTCTTTAATAATTAGTGTAAATAAATATTTTTTGTCGTTATGAGTCTTAATTGAGTTAATTTTGTTAAACCCACGAACATTACAATATGCATGCAATTGTGTTTAACGATACAAAATGAAAGGTTGACTTTCAATCATCTTAAATAGGTATGTCAAGTTGCGGTATTCTCGCTAACTTTGTTATTAGCCTAATATTTACCAAAGTGCTAGCTGAAACATTGGTATCATGTTTAGTAAGTTTAAACTTCTGCATCAAGCATTTATATTTCATATTTAACTTAGGAAAAATTCTTGATAACGGAAAACTAGTAATCAACTTACCTTTCAGTCTCATTTACCCCTTTGGTAATACTTCGATAAAATCCGAAAGTTTCGCCGGTAAAAAATCCAGAAAACGAAATTCCAAGGACGTACATTTCCGGCTTTAATCGATATGGCAAATATATCTCCAGTAAATCATAATCAGGTTGATATGAATGCGAAACTTCTTGTGCATTCAAATGTACTTCATGAATTAGCAAATTTTTGCTGTGCAGAGTAATACGATCCGTAACATTTAGTACCCTAATGATAATTCTTACTTCTCCACTAAATGTATTGTCTTCAAAATCCGGTACTGTCAAATACAGTTTATATGATACAGGAACTACATCTTCAGGTAATCGGTGCTTTACTAAAAATGCATTTGCAGACAATTAATAATGAGTGAATAAAGTAGAAGAAATGGGTTTGTTACAGTTTTTCAAATTAAATGTTACCATAAAAGTTATGGCTAATAAATTATATCCTCTATTAAGTATTTATATGTTGTACGTTGCATACTTCCTCTTGTAAGTTTTGACGATATAACGTTTGCCTACTTTCTTTTATGCTGTTGTGTTGATAAATAGATATTTCATATTTTTTTCTTTCATAACATGATGAAGAGAGGATTTGAAAAACAGTCGAAAAAGTATTGAAAATGGAATATAGAAACGGAAATATTAGTTTTGCAACGGCAACCAACGTTAATGGAAGAGAACTGGCAATTCCTGAAGAAATGAAGTAGTTTTTATTGCCTCAAATTTTAACATTTGAAGAATTTCTTCTTGGACCTACTATCAGAGATGAACGGAAGCTGCTAATTCGCATCTTCAAAATCAAGAGAATAAAGTTCCGGAAAGAAAAGATGTTAAGGTATAAAAATATTGTTTACATCAACAAAAGCACACTTTAATTATATGCATCATAGAGTATTTGACATAACCAATGTATCAGTGTTGTGTATTCTTCCGGACTTTTTGACCGTAGTCCGTGGAATTTTATTTTTCCAAACGTTTCGCCGTTGATAGCATCTGATCAATTACGACTCAGCACCTGCCCAGTCATCATTGAAGATACCATCGGCAAAGAACGGCGAAACGTTTGGAACAGTAAAATTCCACGGACAACGACCAAAAAGCTCGGAAGAAAACACCGCATGGACATACGCCGGCCGTGAAAGCCTAAGAACTAGAGTGACCAATGTAATGTGCATTGTTTTTTGATGTTTCGAAAGGTATTCTTTCAGAAAATGAAATTAACGGTTTTCTAATTTAACCGAGCTATTTTTACGATTACTTTATGGTGTTCAAAATATTTGAAATATAGAGTCTTTTATTCCATATTGATATTTAGTAGGTACCTATTCATGTTACTGTAAAAGCCCAAATATTTGCAAATCTAGGATTTATCAACATGAGGTGGTAAGTAGTATGTAAGTAGGTATTGAAGTAAAATTAATTTTTCGAGCTTTCACCATTAGAGTTCGATTCATGTTCACGTTATATCAATAACGATTAGTATGCTGGTTTCGGGTTTAAAATAGTATATTTAATTAGAAATTATTTACCTATTATATTAAACGTTCTAATTGTGAGGCAAGTTAATTTTAATACATTTTTTAAATCATTTTAAAACACAGTAAAAACATAAAATTCAAGGTAGAAGTTTAAAAAAATATCAAAAGAAGAGAGTCTTCAAGAAGTTATGGAAAATTCAACTCCCTGCAAAATGCTTGACAAAGAAGTGCGCTTGCAAGTCATCATAATTCACTCACCACGTTGTTACAAGTAAAACTTTTTTCTATTACTATTTAGAAATGGCAATAAACAATGTTAAATATAATAAAAATAATTAGGTACACAATAATTCTATTAGCTTAGCCAACCAAGATGTAAGTTAAAATTCAAATATTAATGTGAAAATTCATTTTCCATTTATACCAACTATAAATTACTTCCCTCGCCGGGAATCGAACCCGGTACCTTCGGCTTTACGCACCAGTAGAATGATAAATAATAAAGCCAAAGGTCTCGAGTTCGATTCACAGCGACAATTTTTTCTTCATTAACTTAAATTAATTTATAGTTAGTATAAATGGAAAATGAATTTTCACGTTAATATTTGATATCAACGTGTTTCATATATAACTAAAAATTTACTAGAACAAAATTTTATTATTCTTTATTTTACTGTATTTTATTTTTCTAAAGGATTTTACTCTCCATTTACTATACTTATTGCGAATGAAATCCTAATAAGTATTATCAATGCAAATGCGAGTTTGTTTGTTTATTATATAAAAAACCATATTCTTGAATAACTTTTTGAAACATAGTAAATAGAGATTTTAATGTATTCATAACTCGGAACATATTTTTACAAAAAAACT